GTTATTCTTCTGGCTTTTCCCTTCCGATGGATTCTGCCAGCCACGGCGCCTGCCTGGTAGCCTATTGAGTCCGGGGTGGAACAGGTCGAGAGGAGGGACTGTCACTGCCATGCCAGCGAGGGAGGGATGGGCCTCGGCGACTGCCTGATCGCGGAGCAACGTTCGCTGTGCTTTTCCATCCTGAAGCCCAGGAGATTAACTCTCCACTTCTCTTACATCCCTCTCACTTCCTGAGAGGTCTCCTGGTTTCATGGGAAGAACCCGGTTTTAGAGCCAGGAACCTGGCTTTGAGAGGTAGGGTCCCGGATTATAAACACGGTGTCGTGTCAGAGCTGGGGATATCACCAAAACCCCGTGTTTTAGTTTTCTCATCTGTGGAATGGGTGTATTAGTAGCCATCTCGCAGTGAAGAGGCTCTTTCTCCTGTACGTGAAAGAGCCTCACCCACGAGAGGTAAGTGCTTAGTAAATACGCCTTTTCTTTTCCTTTCTATGCCTGAAAAAGGCCTTATAAACCAAGTCATCATCTCCATCATCTTAGAGAGGGTAATTGCAAAGGTTCTTGGATTACCAGCTGTTTCTAGGCTTAAAGGAGACAAAGCAAATAAAGCAACGATTCTTTTCATATTCAGATATGTGCAAATCTCCTGAGAGGCTGTGCGTGTGTGTGCACACACACTCGCACTCACACACACACTCACATGCACTCACCCCCTCGCAGCACACACACTCACACGCATTCACACACACTCACACACACTCACATGCACTCACAGCACACACTCACGTGCACTCACACACACTCACATGCACTCACACCCCCTCACAGCACACACACTCACATGCACTCACCCCCTCACAAGCACACACACTCACACGCACTCACACACACACTCACACACACTCACATGCACTCACCCCCTCGCAGCACACACACTCACACACACTCACACGCACTCACACACACTCACATGCACTCACACCCCCTCACATCCCTCACAGCCGTCACCGGGCAGAGTCCCCTCTGCTGTGCCCTTAGACAATGTGAGCAAACGACCTAGGTGGTCAGACCGGAGTCAACCGTAACAGGGAGCCCTAATTACCGTTATCCCCTAAGATAGCCTGCAAATTGCAGGTTTTCCCAAAGACTGGAGCAGGGAGCGTTATCACGCTGTGGCTGATAACACACTGTCCTGTTCGCGGGGAGGGTCGGGGAGGGTCGGGGAGGGTCGAGCAGCCGGAATGAGCCTGGCTGAGGAGCAGCTCCGTGTGCATCCTGCTGTCCTGCCTGCCGTCGGCTGGGCGGATCCAGAGCTCCAGACACTGCGGCTCTGTCTGGGGCCTGCTGAGGGTTCCTGAGCGCTTTCCTCCGGGCACTGCCCAGCGGGGCCGAGAAACCTGTGCCCAGCTCCCCTGTCCTGCAGTACTTCTCAGTATCAACATCGGCTTTGGAAGAACACACTTAGACGGGCTTTGTTCTCTTCTGGGAAAATGACTTCAGCTGTTAGACAACACGGTGTGGCTTCTGGACGTCACGTCAACACCTCATGGGACCAAGGTCAGGACTGAATGGGAGAGGCTCCTCCGATTGCTGATGGCCCGTGTTTTGCTCCCAGGAGGTGCCCTGCACACGGCCATGCCCACACTCATTACTTCTTGAGATGCTTAGTCATATTGCCCCAGGTCTGCATTCTCATCTCGCACTGGGCACTACATACAAGGCGCCAGTCCCGGTGACCCTTCTGTGGCTTTGCACAGGCTGCTGGAGTGTTTTTCCCACCGCTCCTGCCTGGGAAATCTCTCGTTTTTCTCTCCTTTCCTTCCTTCTTCCGGCCTTTTCTTTCTTTCTTTTTTTAATCCTCACCCGAGGATATTTTTCCATTGGTTTTCAGATAGCGTGGGAGGGAGGGAGGAAGAGCGAGCGAGAGAAACATCGATGTGAGAGAAACACATCAACCAACTGCCTCCCACATGACCCCGACCAGGGCCAGGGCCAGGGATCAAACCGCAACTTAGGTACATGCCCTTGAGCAGAATCGAACCCACAACTCTTTGGTCCATGGGCCAATGCTCTAACCATTTGGCCACACCAGCCAGGGCCTGCCTTTTGTTCTTTTTAGTTCTTTTCTGTAAACAGTTGGTGAATCCCTGCTTTGGCCTCTGCCTTGTGCAGGGGCCAGAATTTCTAGGGTAAACTAGACAGAAACAGTTCTTGTCTTCATGGGGTTGACAGCCTGGTGAAGGAGGTAGACAAACAAAATAACAAGGAACCAAACAAACAAAAAATTGGTGTCGAATTATAGTCATTGCTATGAAGGAAACAACCAGAGTGCTGAAAGAAGAACCCCAACAGTGGGTGGAGGGGGCGGGGGCCACTCTGGGGAGGGTGGGCAGTGGTTTCGGATCAAGGCTCCACCCGAACACCCCCTGACTGTCCTCTCAGGGAGCCGTCTGTGCCGCGTTCCGTGGTCATTCCTCTGCTATCGATCCGGCCACACTCGGCAGCAATTACACACACACATCCATCTCCCCTGTGGAGCGTGAGCTCCGAGTTGCCTGAGGAGTGAGGCCGCGTCTTCAGCACGTTTGTCTCCCCAAACTCCTTGTGGGCACTTAACAGGCACTAAATGATGTCAAAGGCTTTGTTACTCTACACCAGTGGTTCTGAGGAAGGAAAGCGGGATTTTGCCCCGCAAGGGGCATTTGGCCATGTTTGGGGGCATTTTTGATTGCCATGACCTGCGGTGGAGGGGGTGGCCACCGACATCTGCTGGGTAGAAAGCAGAGATACTTACTACAAAACATCCTACAACACACAGTCCAGTCCCCACGACAGAGAATTATCCCACCCAGATGTCAATAGCGCTCTACGCTCGTACAAAATTACATATTGGGGTAACATTTTGTTGGTTTTTTTTTGTTTTTTTCTTTATTGATTTGAGAGAGAGAGGGAGAGAGAGGGAGAGAGAGATAGAAACATCGATGAGAGAGAACATCAACTGGCCGCCTCCTGCATGCCCCCCACTGGGGATCAGGCCCACAACCTGGGCATGTGCGCTGACCGGGAATCAAACCAGCGACCTCTTGGTGCAGGGTCAACACTCAATCACCGAGCCACACCGGCCAGGCCATTTTGTTATTGTTAATCCTCACCCAAAAGACATTTTTTCCATTGATTTTAGAGAGAGTGGAAGGAAAGGAGGGAGGGAGGGAGAAAGAGAGAGAGAGAGAAACATCGATGTGAGAGACACATGGATTGCTTGTCTCCCACAGGCACCCCAACTGGGGCCGGGATAGAAACTGCAACCCAGGTACATGCCTTGACCAGAAATTGAACCCGAGACCCTTCGTTGCCCAGGCTGATGCTCTAACCACTGATCCACACCAGGCAGGCCTGTGGGTAATATCTTTAAAATGTCAACTGGTATAGCCTACCTCCTGCTTTTCACATCCTGTTCTTCAGATACCCCTCAGGGGCAGCCCACAGCCATCTGCCAGCCCTGAATGTCCACTCTCTCTCCCACCTGAGCCCATGCAAGTGGAGTTCCGTGGCAAGCACTGGACAGCTGTGACTTCCTGTTCTCCAGCCCTTTCTCCCCAGCTTCCTCCTGACCTACAGTTCTCCTGATGCAGCTAAAATGCATTTCCTCAGCAGCAGTTTTTTTCTGAGCCCACCAGGTCACCCAGGAACATGATTGAGCAAGTTCGAGAGCAAATAGCAACTCAAGGGGTTTTGAGTTGTGGAAGGAAGGAAATACACTTTGGTAAGAGCACTTATTAAGGACTAAGCCTCTTTCCCCAATAGAATCTGCAGCACAACGTTCCAAGGGAGATATTCTTACCGCTCAGAGCTGCAGTCATTCCAGACCGGCCCGGGGGAGAATTCCCTTCCAAGCCTGCTCAGATGGCTTTTGACAGGCCTCAGGGGTTCCCTGACTGGAGACAGCAGACCCTAGCCATGTGGGCCTCTGCATGATGCAGCCCCAAACCATGGCAGCTGGCTTCCCCCAGAGTGGGGATTCTACAGGTGAGTGCCAGCAAGTGCCCAGATGGGGCCACAGTCTTTGTATGACCTAACCTCAGAAGGGGCATCCCATCATTTTGCTGCATTGTGTTTGTTACAAATGAGTCGTGACTCCAGCCCATACCTGGGGAGAGGAATTGCACAAGTTGTGGGTACCAAGTGGCCTCGGATCACTGGGGACCACGGTCCTACCACAATGGGACGTGGTGTCAAACATGAATTCCACCACCCAGTTCAACCGGCCTATGCTTCCTGGTATATGAGAGGGCAGCTGTAACAGGATGCACCCCGCTGGGTGGACATGATGCCGTATTCCATCACACCTACGGACACGAGGGGCCTGGCTGGGAGGAAACACCCGCGCAGCTTCCATTTCCTGTTTGTGGCTGCTCTCTCTTTCCCCTTCCCTTGACCCTGTGCAGGTCACTGGATATATCAGAAGATGATGACGCTCCCTTTTAATGTAAAGGAATCGACCAGCTGTTGGGTAAATGCTGTTGTACGCGCTCACCATTCTGTTAGAGTCTCAGGGTCAGAGAGGATTTGACGTACCGTCTGGTCCAGCTGCTGATCCGATCTGTGACGTCAGCCTCCTTTTCCTCCTTCCCGCTGGCCAGGCTGTCTCCCCCATCCATCAGGACAGTCTCCGAAATTCGGCATTCCCTGCAAACATAGGACCCTCCGCGGTGGTTCTGTTGTGTCTTCACGTTGTCTTCGCTGGGCAGCTCCCGCCCGTCTCCTGTGCGCTGGGCTTGGCCGCCGTGCACCAAGGCTGTTTAAGGACCTTCGACTTCCTCCCTGCCTGCCTGCCTGCTTCCCATCCATTCGCTTGTGATACCCTCGTTGGCATCTGAGGGAAACCGATATTCTGAACAAGGAGTGGGCGCTCACGTCAGCTGGTGAGGTCTTCGTAGCAACCCCAGGATTTGACAGCCAGAGGAGTGGAGTTCAGGTACATAGGGCCAGTGCGAGGAGTGGTCAGCTTGAGCCCAGAGCTTCCCAAACTGGGGTAGAGGTCCTAGTATGGAAATAGGACATGATTTTAGGTAGTACACACATTTTTTTTTTTAAATCCTCACCCGAGGGTATTTTCATATGTATCTTCAGACAGTGTGGGAGGGGGAGAGAGAGAGAGAGAGAGAAACATCCATGTGAGAGAGACACATCAGCTGGTGGCCACACACATGACTTCAACCGGGGCCAGGGACGAACTGCAACTGAAGTACATGCCCTTGGCTGGAATCGAACCCGGGACTCCCTGGTCCATGGGTTGATGCTCTAACCACCGAGCCAAACAGGCCAGGGCGACACACACATTTTTAACAGTAATAAATTATGTCAGTGTACTTTTAGTGAGCATGGGGAAAAAAAAAAAAAAAACACATACCCAACATCTCAATCTTATGATAAATGTTTGCATTTTTATTCATTTGCTTACTCATTCACTCATTCATTCATTCAACAAATATGTAATGGTGATTACTCCATTCCTGGCATTGTCCTAGTCCCTGAGTATCCAGAAAAAAACAAACAGCTGAAGAATCCCTGCTCTAGTAGAATTTCCATTACACTCAAGTAAATAATTTAAAGTTTAAAGTGAGATGATTTAAAGAAGGAAAGAAATCCAGAGGTGCCAACATCGATAGGTAAACTCAGACCAGTGCCTTCGCCTCTTCGTGCCTCTCTCCTTGTCTGCAAAATAGGAATAGTACCTGTTTTCCTCCCTCGGCTGGATCCGACCCTCCTGTGAGTGGAGAGTGGGAAATGCACGCAGTGCCTGGAACAAACATGTTGAAAATGAGGCGATGACTCAGTTTTGGGAAGCTCGCCTCGGAAATCCTCCAGGAGCTCGAGTGCTTGTAAAGGGCACATTTCCTAGGCTCCGCCCCACAGATCTGACTCAGCGGATTTGGGGCAGGACCCAGGTTTTAAAGCCCCTCCCTCCTGCTACCCTGACAGCAAACCATGGGGAGGGGGGCTGCTTTAGGGTGCAGATAAGCACTCTTGCAGGGTGGGGTCCAGTGGGGAAATGCCTTCCGGGGTGCTATGGTACCTGCCAGGACAAACACCCGAAAACAGTTGGGTTCAGGGGGAAGTTTTCTGCCGAGGAAACAACAGGGCAGAGTCGAGGCAGAACAGGTTCTCTCAGGAAAGTGCAAGAAGTTGATCAGGATGGGGTCTGGTCTGTGAGGCCCGGTGGACTGTGATCGGAGGAGACTGGGGCTTGTCATCCCCAGCCCGGGGAGCGGGGGAGCATGCTGCGTCAAGTTCTGCGGAAACTCGCCCAAGAGGAGCTTTTTGACGCTGTGAAAAGTTCGCATTTGAGGGCTGGAGAAGCCCAAAGCAGTTGCTGTGAGAAAAATGGATTCCAAGAGAATGTTTTAGAATTATCTGCAGACTGTCACTTTGTCTGCAGCCCCCCCACCCCCATGATTTCAGAGGAGACAGGGAAAGGGGAAGAGCCTGCTGGACTCCATAAAGAAAATGACAGATCTCACTAATGGTCTGATAGACTTTCCGGAAGCCTGGCCGGGAAGCTGTGTGATGGATTAAGTGGTCCAGGGGCCCTTTCATTCCCCGAGTGGAGAGAAAGTGATGTGGAATCTGGTGCACAGGCTCCAATTCTGATTTCACCTTGACCTAGCTACACGACCTTGGCAAACTGCGCAGTTGCTCAGGACCCGTGTTCCCATCTGCTTGGTGGGAATCACGTCAAGAATAAGTGACATGGTTCTGGCTGGTGTTGTTCAGTGGGTTGCAGTGTTGTCTTATGCACCAGTGCACCAAAAGGTGGCAGGTTTGATACCTGGTCAGGGCACATACCCAGGTTGTGGGTTTGATCCCCATTCCAGGTGAGTGCAGAGGGCAACCGATCTCTCTCTCTCTCTCTCCCCCTCCCTCCCTCTCTTTCCCTCTTGCTCCATCTCTCCCTTCTGCTCTCTAAAATCAATGAAAAACATCTTTGGATGAGGATTATTTTTTTTAAACTTTTTTTTTATTCTCACTCAAGGACATTTTTTCCCCCCATGTTTTGTTCAGATAGAGTGGGAGGGAGAGAGAGAGGGAGAGAGAGAGAGAAACATTGACGGTGAAAGGGACACATCAAGTGGCTGCCACCCACGCGACCCAACCAGGGCCGGGGACCAACTGCCCTTAGCAGGAACTGAACCCTGGTCTCTGGACCGAAGGCCGACGCTCCAACCGCTGAGCCAAATCGGCCAGGGCAGGATTAATATTCTTAAAAAGGAGGTAACATGGTGTGTACCAAGGGCTTGGCACACTGCCTGGCACAAAGTGAAAGCTCATTCAGTGGCAACATGTTATTAATTTTTAATCAGCAAACGTGACCCGACATCCAGAAACTAAAGAAAGAGGAAGACGGCTGCGGCACTTACCACGGGGCCACTTACCACGGGGCCACTTTTTGTTTGGAACTTCTGCAGAAAAATATCGGAAGTGTGTGTGGCTAAGAGAAGATATTTGACTAAGGGCTGAGAATTTAGTTCGCTTTCGGGAGGATGCTAATGGCCTTGTACCCTAAAAGCACAGAGTAGGGGCAAGAAAAGCAGAGGCAGCTGAATCAGTTGGAGGTTCCTCACCTGGAGAATGTGTGGGGTGTGCACACACCTCCCTCCCCCTCCCCAGTGCCCGGCAGGCCAGCCATTCCTGGCTAGGAAGAGAGAGAGGAAAGGAGACCAGGGTGGGAGGGGAATGGGAGAAAACCCCTTGTGAAAAGAGGAAGGAAGATACTTGGGAGTGGTTTGCTGTCCAGCGGCTGGGAGTGGAGAGAACTGAGCTCATGGCCGCCCTCGCCCTGGTCTGTCCCTGTCAGGGGGTCCAACCACAACAACTGAGGGCCTACTGTGTGCACTCCACAGTTAAGGCACTGAGGGGGGAGGGGATCTATGCACAGATCCAGCCAGGGACATGCTTACCCCTCTGCACCAGGCTCATAGTGTCCCCTAGAACTCATGCGACCGGGAACCTCAGAATGTGACCTTGTTTGACACAGGGTTTTTGCAGATAGAATTAGTTAGAATGAGGTCATATTGGTTTAGAGTGAGTCCTACACCCAATGACTAGTGTCCTCATGATGAGAGGAGACACAGAAATGCATTCAAATACAGGGAAGAGAGCCATGTAAAGACAAAGGCAGAGACTAAAGCGATGCATGTACAAGCCAAGGAATGCCAAGGATGCCGGCCTCTGCCAGGCGCGGGGAGCAGGTAAAGAAGGATCCTCCGCCGGAGCCTTCCACGGGGGTGCGGCCCCACCGACACCTGTGAGAATACACTTCTGTTGTTGTAAGTCACACAGTTTGGGGTAATTTGCGAAGGCAGCCCTAGGCAACTCATAGACATCGTATGAGAAAAAAACAGAAGGCAGGCCGTCTTCATTTGCAAGCAGCATGTCGACAGAAACTTGTGCACATCAGAATCATGCCCTCACTTTGCACAATCTGGGAAACAGAAGTCTAGGTCCGGTCAACTTGGAACCATGCAAAACAAGGGCTGCCTGCTCCCCGCTCTCTCACTTGCGCACGCACGCATGCACCCCCCCCCCACACACACACACACTTCTGGAAAAGCACAAACAGCTCACCATCCTGAGAAAAGGAATCAAGTGCAAAGTGAGTAAGAGGAGACTCCGAGGCTGCAGAACTGACCGCCGTTAATCGGGGAAGACTTCTTGGTGTCAGCGAGTGTGGATTCCAGTTTTGAAAGATTGGAAGCACATGGTGTCTCCAAAAGAGCACAAGGGGAGAGGCTGGGTGCCTTCATTCTTTCCTCCAGGGATCCCATTCTGACGCCACCGTTTACTTGCTCTGAGATCTTACTCTACCCGAGGCTAAGTGTCCTCACCTGTGACGTGGTGATCCCACACCCCGTGTGCCTGGGGACTCCCAGACCCATCATTCACAGTGACCCAGCAGCCCCTTCACTCTCAAAGGTGTCCTGGTTTATATTGGGAGGGGCTTATTTTCTACTTTTCAAATACAAAATTATGTATTAAATACGCTTTTCAAACAATTTCCCTAAAGATTCTGCTACTCACTTCTTCTACTTCAGGGGCAGGGTCTCTGATTGAGAAGCACCTGAGTGGGGTGTCTCCACACAATTCAGACTAGAGTTTCAGAACGAAGCCTTTGGAGTCAGACCAAACTGGGTTTATCCCTAAGGCCCACCACCTATTAGCTATGTGAGCATGACAACTCATTTACCACAGCCCTGCACCCTCCTCTGAGAGCCAGCTTTGTACTTGATGCCATGGAGCTATAACAGCGCATAACCCACAGAATGACGGAGATGCTCAAGCGGTATATGTAATGCCCTTAGAACAACACCTGTCACAGAATGATGATTTCTTAAATGGAGTTTGTTGTTTTTTACATATAAGCTGTGCAGAGTTTATTTTGGTTTGCTGGGAGGAAGCATTTCTAGACACTGAGGGTGGAGACGTAGCAGTATCCAGACAGCCAGGTCTCAGCTGGCCAGCAGGCCTGAGCCCCCAAGCAAATGACCCCTAATTGTAGGTAATCAAGGATCAAAACATGCAGCTGATGAGACCATGAGATGAGACTCAGATGCACTGCCGGGGATTTGATTGCATTTATACCTTGTTCTGGCTTTTAGTTTCCTGTCTCTATTGCCTTTTTTGTTCAGGAAGGTTGCTCTTGTCTTGCCCCAGAACAAGGCACTGTGACAAACTTGGAATGGTCAATCATTCAGGGCTTCTTAGTTGTAAGAAACAGAAATGCCTACGGACTGACTTAATCCTAAACAGAATTTTATAGAATGCTGCAGAGCTCCCAGAACTGCCGGAGACCTGGGAAGCCAGGGGTGAGACCAGGCTTAACACAGGTCATGTCAGGCGTCTAGAGAGCCAACGACTCAGTCTCTCTAGGGACAGTGCCAAAAGGGAATGTGCTCACACCTCTGTGTCCTTGGGATACTGATGAAGACTCAAAGGCCTGGGAGAAAAATCAGCTTCCTCTCCCTTGGGCATCTTCATGGCTAGAACAGGGCAGGGCACTGTCTTGGACCACTGAGACCACCCACAGTGGCTAAGAAGAAATTCCAAAAGGAGATGAGGCTGCATTAGCCACAGAGGAGGGAAGGATGCCTGCAGCCCAATGCCTCAAGGACTCTTTAAAAGTGGGCCTGAGAGCCCTGGCCAGTTTGGCTCGGCGGTTAGAGCGTCGGCCTGCGGTACAGAGAGACCCGAGTTCGGTTCCCGCTAAGGGCACGTACCTGGTTGCAGTTTGTCCCCGGCCCTGGTTGGTCCTGCGGGTGGCAACCACTCGATGTGTCTCTTTCACATCGATGTTTCTCTCTCTCTCTCTCTCTTCCTCTCTCTCCCTCCCGCTCTGTCTGAACAAAAAAAATGCAAAAATGTCCTCGGGTGAGGATAAAAAAAAAAAAAAAAAAGCCCTGGCCGGTTTGGCTCAGCGGTTAGAGCATTGGCCTGCGGTCTGGAGAGACCAGGGTTCGGTTCCCGCTAAGGGCATGTACTTCGGTTGCAGTTTGTCCCCGGCCCTGGTCGGTCGTGTGGGTGGCAGCCACTCGATGTGTCCCTTTTGCGTCGATGTTTCTTTCTCTCTCTATCTCCCTCCCGCTCTATCTGTACAAAAATTGCAAAAATGTCCTCGGGTGAGGATAAAAAACAAACAAACAAACAAAAAAAAAACAAAATAAAAGTGGGCCTGAGAATCTTGAATGGCTATCCTAACCTGCTCCTAAATTTCTGCATGCTCTGTCCACAGCCCTTACGCTGCCTGGACCTTAGCTTTCATATCTGCAAAATGAGTTGCTCAGCTCGTGTGCTACGAGGGACCTCTCGGTCCAGAAGGTTCTCATCCCTGGTGGCTCCCCCTGCCCTGACCTTCCATTTCCTCATGTGTAAACCTCCCACCTGGATGGTCGCACATGGCTCATTTCTTCAAGTCCGAAACCAGTTTCTAGACATTGGCCGGGAGGCGCTCCATGACAGTGTTTCACGTGTCTTGTGGAGAAGGCAGCTGTCTCAGTGCCTGGGAGGCAGGTGGTGAGGGAAGACAGCAGGTGTTCAGAAGAGAGAGGGGGTCTGGAGACCAACCTCAGG